AAAAAATACAATCTGTCATAAAATCATTCAAAGAATGAAAGGCCATATACTGTTACTTAATACACAACTGCTGGAGGATTTCTATGATACTAAGGCCTATACACTCCTTGTTCTCTAGATAGCTGATTTGTATGTTGAATTGGCTCATGCCTCTTATTTTTTTTTTTTTTGCCAGCACCTGAGCAAGAACTTAGGTTTTGTGCTTCTTCACTTTCCTCTCTCCTAGGTCAAGGACATGTGAGCCATGCCTCCCACTCAGCTTTTTGCTGGTTAATTGAAGCTAATGTCTGTAAGGTCCATTCCTGGACGGCGAACAGACCTCGCCCAGTACCTGCGTTACCTAGGCAACTGGGACACCTGGAAGAGGTCACATCCGCATCCGCTGAGGTCACATCTTAACCTGATGTGGCCACACCTTTCTCCCACCCCACCCCACTTCCCTTTACCTGGACACACCCTTCCGCACCCCCTACCCTATATAAGGAATAAACCGCGGCCAGACCGCCCTTTTTCTTTTCCTTTGCCAGCCGCGTGGAGTGCCAACCTTGCCTGGTCCCAGCAGGTCTACTGAATAAACCCCTTACCTGAATACCACGTGCGTGGTGCAGTTCTTACTCGGCCACCTCTTTTTAAAAACCTAACAATGTCTTGTAACCTTTTTGGTCTGTGCATGTTCTACTCCTTGATCCTCAGATCTGGGCTTCCTGAGTATGTAGGCTTACAGGCAAAATCCACCAATCCCTTGCAGGCACAAACCAATGCCTATATGGGTTTTTCCTTTTATGGCTATTGCCATGTAAAATAAGATGAATTTTCAAATACTATAAAGTATGTCCCAATCTTTTGGACCATAAATATATTCTAATTATATATTAACTATATATATATATATATATATTACAGAAAGTATAATATATATGTCATTTTAGTTGGAGACACGCACACATACACACAGATACATATATGAGAAAACTGCACACTGTCTGTGGTTTGACATCATCAGCAGAGAAACCATGGCCATGAATATTCCTTACAAAAAACTAAAGTACTTTATGTTTATATGTATGCACCTATGTTTATATATTAATAAACATATAAACACATGCATATATACACACTTGCCCACTCATGTATATATTATATGGTATATATTAATATATATTTATATACAAATGAAGCAGAGTCTCGCTATGTAACCTATGTTGCTCTCAAAGAGGTGAAAATCCTGTCTTCCTTCACTATGTTTTGCATTTTAAACCTGCCGAAACATACCTAGCTTATCCTTTATTTCAGATGAATACACTGCTGTGCTCAAATCAAATGAGTTCCTAATTATTAAGGAGGGAAAATGTTTAGAGGAACTACTAAATGAACTAGCTTCACAACCCTATCATAGAAACCTATTTTTCTGTTTTAAGAGGATTCCTTAAAAGTGTGCATTATTATAAAATGCAGTTCAATTACTACAATGGTATTGATTTCTGTACATCAGTCAAACATGCAAATGTTAGCATTTGATCTCATTGCCTAGGTGCTGTTCTTGATCTTCTTTGCTAAAGGCTAGTCCTGTACCACTTGAGCCACATACATCTTACTTATGACCTTTATGGTGGTTAATTGGGGAGAGGAGTCCCTTGTTCATTTTGCCCAGTCAAGCTTCAAAGATTGATCTTCAGCTTTCAGAATTGCAAGCATGAGCGGCCTAAGCCTAGCAGCTTTACATATTGATATTTACATGCCTTGATTTATTTCTGGTACTGAATAAGGGCTTCAAGGTTTATTTGCTTTTTTTGCTGGTCCTGGGGCTTGAACTCAGGGTCAAGGTGCTGTCCCTACACTTGATTACTCATGACTAGTACTGTATCACATGAGCCACATGTTCCCTTCAAGCCTTTGGGTGAATTGGAAATAGTAATTTCAATGACTTCTGCAGCTGGGCTGGTTTTGAAATATGATCCTCAGATCTCAGCCTTCTGAGTAAATAGGAGTACATGTGTGAACCACAGGTGCCCAGCTGCTTCATAAGTGTTCCGGAAGATCTTAAAATGAGCCAAATACTTTACACTGACCCAACAGTTTTCCTCAGGTGAGTTTCAGACACTCCTCAGGGTGAAAGGGAGAAAAAAGCTGAGTTGGGGAACTTGGAATGTTGCTCAGGTGCTAATGTGTCAGAGAAACTATTCATGGAGAGATGAGTTGTGCTTTTCTTTCCTTTTCTTTTTTAAAGGAGGTTATTTTATTTATTTTATTTTTTTGGGTCCAGTCGTGGGGCCTGAACTCTGGCCCTGGGTGCTGTCCCTCAGTTCTTCAGCTCAAGGCTAGTGCTCTACCACTTGAACCACAGTACCACTTCTGGCTTTTTTCTTTTTGCTAATATGGTGCTGAGGAATCGAACCCAGGGCCTCATGCATGCAAAGCAAGTGCTCTACCACTGAGCCACCTTCCCAGCCCTGCTTTTATTTTCAATCAATGAAATTCTTTCACTTTTAGTCCTCTTCTTTGTAAGAGTCTTCATTTCTTGGCTTTTCAATTCCAAATAATTTAAATAACCTTACTGCTATCCCTTCTTTGAGGACTTGATCATTCAGTAAAGGAGTTTCCCCCTTTATGAGCCTGTATTTAGGTCCTGATATGGGTCTGTGTTCTGGTGCACCATGACTGCACCTGAGATGAGCTGCTTAGTAGAGCCAATGATTGTGGAAAAGATCTGACAAAATGAATGGTGCTATGGAGAGTTATGGATGGATTCAAGTGACTGGATGAATTTGTACCGATATATATGTATATTTACATACATAGATATGCATACACACACACACACACACACAATGTAAACACCGCGGTGACTTGCTGATGCATGCCTTGCCTTGTAATCTGTCACTCAAAGCCAAGAGATTCACATTCATGAACCATTGGGACATTCTCAAGTATGTCTCTAAAGTCCTCATAAGCTGTTGCTATGGAGACATGTTCATGTGGGGCTTCTGAATGCTGTTTTTACACATGGGATTGTGGAATGTTAAGTGTATATTCTTTTTTTTTAGCTCCAAAACTGGGACTCAAACCCAGTACATGATATTTTGCTCACTTGCTAATGCTCTAACAACTAAGCCATACCTCTATCCCTTAAAGTATGTAATTTGTCTATTCTGTTGTGAAAGACTATATGAATATATGACAAATTCTACCAGCTCTATAAAAATTATAGAACTGTTCATTTCCAGGGGGGGAAGAGACTGATGTTATAGAAGGTATTCTAGGTTTACAGAAAAATTTGAAAATTGTTTTCCACGTAAAATGTGAATGAACTCTGTTACTTTTATTGAATTTCACCACATAAAATAAGTATTTATTAAATCAACTTTATTACTCATCTATAATTTGCCGCGGACCGGGTTCTGTCGGGACGACGGAGGACACCTAGGGGAGGAACCTGGAATAGGATGGGGAGATGGCAAACAGACAACTCACACACATTAGGAGTGGATGCTGAGTGTGATTTAATGCAGAGGATAACAAACTTTTATAGCAAAAAGTCTCCATAAGAAAGGGCAAAAGGTTACACAATCTTGCTGCAAGGCTTCGTTCTTGGATGGTCACCAGCTGGTCGCCTGAAAGGGCAAAAGTTTACACAATCTTGCTGCAGGGCTTCATTCTTGGGTGGTCAACAGCTGGTCACCTGAAAGGCACTTGTTTCCAGCTTATCTCTGAGAAATATAATGGGTTTCGATGTTTGTCACCATTTAACCATTACCTTATTTCTATAGAGGCCTTAATTGTCCCATAGGATTTTTCCTTCCTGTTCCTTAATAATAAGCACCAAGGAGACTTAGATCTAGCAAGTCTCTTAGTAAATGAGAGAGTAGTAGGAAGTTTTTTCTCCTAAGTAGTTATCTCAGTAATTGCCATACATTCCTTCTGTTCTAGTTGCCCTACAGCTTCTTGTAAGTTTCTTACAAACAATTCCTTCTGCTGAAGTGACTTCATGAAACCCCCAATACTTCTATATTTACTTATAACCTGCCTACTAAACTCCATAAGAGGGGTTTCAGGGTAGCACTTAACTCTGGTGAGTTAGTCATATTTTTAAGACACTCATCAGATATTGGAGTCATTAACACTCTTAAGAAAGAGCTTTGAATAAGGGAACGTTGACAATGAATAAGTACGATGAACAGCAGAAACAGTAAAAGATTAATAGGCACTTTTATACAGTGAGGAAAAGAAAGGCAGAAACACATCTTTCCCAGGGGTTTGCCAGCCTTTTCAGGAGGTAGGCCTCATAGAAGCCCTATTCTCTGAGGTAGACTTCGGTGAAGTCCCAAAACTCAGAGATAGGTCTCTGAAGCCCCTATCTTGGTCTGATAGATGGTTTCCCATGCTAAGCAGACTCCACTGGAGTCAGCGTGGCAATAATTCTCAAATATTTCTCATTTTTAAATGTTACAAAATTCCATTAAATCACTCAATTTCCTTATAGATACTATGAAACTACTTATTTTCCTAATTTATAACATTTCAGTTTTACTTACATAAGTTTTGTAAACACCTTTGAAGAAAGTAGACTGCTTCCCAATGATAAGACTCATGATACTAAATACAACAACCTCAAAATTAGAGATGTGACACAAAGGGTAGAGTGATAAGCTTGAGAATAAAAGCCAAACGGAACTAAAGGGCTATGAGTTCAAATGAAACTAACAGCAAAATAAAAGGAAAAAGGTAAATATCATCCTAGAATTTCATGAAACAGGAAATTAGATATAAACATCTTCTTGTAGATCTCCCAATAGAGAATGTTAGAAATGGAACTTGAGAAATTTTAGAAGATGGACATTCAGGGAAGAATGACCGAGAGTACTTAGAACTTTTTTGAAAAACTTTCTACATGTTTTACATTGCTATGATTTCTCTTGTGTGTGTGTGTGTTCAGTGGTGAACCCTGAGCTGTGCCTTCTGGTTGAAGAATTCCACATTTGCTACCTTGATAAGGTTTGTATCCTGTGTGGGTTCTCTATTGCAAACTGATTTCTCTTCCAAATGAAAGACTTTCCCTACTTGTTACATTCTAGAGATTTCTCATTTGGGTGAATTTTCTTATATGCTAGGCTGTGGCCTCCTCTGGACGGTTCTTTCCACATTTGTTGCATTCATAAGGCTTCTCTCCTGTGTTGTGCTCTCTGATGATAAATAAGGGTTGACTTCTGTGTGAAACTCTTTCCACAGCTGTTACATTCATAAAGCTTTACTCCTGTGTGTTCTCCGATGGACAGTAAGGTTTCCCCTCTGGCTGAATGACTTTCCACACAGGTCACATTCAAAAGGTTTCTCTCCTGTGTGTGTTCTCTGATGGTCAGTAAGGTATACCTTCCTGGTGAAAGACTTTCCACAGCTGTTACATTCATAAGGTTTCTCTCCTGTGTGCATTATCTGATGGATGTTAAGTGCTGCCTTCCACCTGAAAGACTTTCCACAGTCCATACATTCATAAGGTTTCTCTCCTGTGTGTATTCTCTGATGTGATTTAAGGATTGACTTCCGCATGAAAGACTTTCCACACCAGCTACATCCATAAGGTTTGTCTCCCGTGTGTTTTCTCTCATGGAAAGTAAGGCTGTTTTTCTTTATGAAAGACTTTTTACACCTCCTACATTCATAAGGTCTCTCTCCTGTATGTGTTGCCTGATGGGCAGTAAGTTGTGACTTCATGGCAAAAGACTTTCTACACACATTACATTCATAAGGTTTCTCTCCTGCGTGTATTGTCTCATGGATAGTAAGGCATGTTTTCCGGGCGAAAGCCTTTCCACACCTGCTACATTCATAAGGTCTCTCTCCTGTATGTGTTGTCTGATGGACCCTAAGGTTTCCTTTCTGAGTGAAAGACTTTCTACACACATTACATTGATAAGGTTTCTCTCCTGTGTGTGTTGTCTGATGGATTTTAATTTGTGCCTTCTGAGTGAAAGACTTTCCACATATATTACATTTGTATGGTTTCTCTCCTGTGTGTGTTGTCTGATGGGCATTAAGGTTTGTCTTCTGGGTGAAAGACTTCCCACATTTGTTACATTCATAAGGTTTCTCTCCTGTGTGTGTTCTCTGATGGACAGTAAGGTATGCCTTCAAGTGAAAAGATTTTCCACACATGTTACATTCATAAAGTGTCTTTCTTGTGTGAATTTTCTGATGAAAAGTAAGGTTTCCCTTCCGGATGAAAGACTTTCCACACACGTTACATTCATAGGGTTTCTCTCTTGTGTGTGTTGTCTGATGGACAGTAAGGTGTGCCTTCTGGATGAAAGACTTTCCACACACATTACATTCATAAGGTTTATCTCCTATGTGTATTCTATGATGATATGTAAGTTTAGACTTCCGCATGAAAGACTTTCCACACAGGTTACATTCATAAGGTTTCTCACCTGTGTGTGTTCTCTCGTGAGCAGTAAGGTTTGCCTTCTGGGTGAAAGACTTCCCACACAGGATACATTCATAAGGCTTCTCTCCTGTGTGTGTTCTCTGATGGACAGTGAGGTATGACTTCTGGCTGAAAGACTTTCCACACAGGTTACATTCATAAGGTTTCTCTCCTGTGTGTGTTGTCAGATGGACAGTAAGGTGTGTCTTCTGGCTGAAAGACTTTCCACACACATTACATTCATAAGGTTTCTCTCCTGTGTGTGTTAGCTGATGGACAGTAAGCTGTGCCTTC